TTCTGGTTTAAATGTGTTCTGGTTCTATCCAGGTTCTGATTGGTTCTGGTTCTGATTGGTTCTGACCTCTGGCCTTCCTCTTGTAGTAGATGAATCCAGCCAGAGACAGGATCAGACCCAGGATCAGTCCTGAAGCTCCGATGGCCAGTTTGTTCCTCTCTGAGTCCGGCATGGACGGGTCTGAGGGACAGAGAGGACAGGAGGACAAGTTAGGACAGGAGGGGGACAGATAGAGACAGGTGGACATGTCTCTACTTGTCCCCAGGTAAAAACAGGTGGACAGGTGTCCCTCCCCAGGTGTCTCCATCGTCCTCCTTCTTACCCCAGTCGGTGACCAGAGGCTCCTTCAGGCTGGCGTGTTCCACCCTGCAGGAGATCCGCTCTCCAGACCTGCAGAGACAGGAACAGAACCGGGTCAGACCTGAGAGGTTCTACTGGTCCTGGTTCTGGTTCTGACCCACCTGGGCGTGTACTCCAGCGTAGAGTGGACCTGGTAGTACCAGTCTCCGTCCTCCATCTCGTCAGTGGTGGTGACGTCTGATGTCACTTCCTGTCCGTCTCTCAGCCACCGGACCTTGATGGTTTTAGGGTAGAAATCATAAACCCTGCAGACCAGCATGGAGGGGTGGTGGCCAGCAGGGGGCGTCCTGGAGTACAGTCTGACTGTAGGCTCAACTGGAGGATCAATAACAGGTTATTGGTTTGTTATTAAGGTCAGATTGGGATCAATACATGGTTTATTCTGATGATCATTGGATGTAACAGGAAGTATTTATATTATTATATGTATATTATCAGTTTCTGTATTGATTATTGATGATAAAACCAGTTTAACTGAAGTTGCTGGGGGGAAATGAGACCAGATTATTATTTACTGGTTATTGATCCAAACTGATCAGTTTTATATAGTTATCAATAATAAATATAAACAGACCAGAGTTCAGATAAACTACAGTTATAGATAAATAATAGATGATCAATAATAGATCTGGATGTTATAGAATGAGTCCATCTATAAGTTCAATATTTATGTTTATATTTATTATCATTTTATTTTTCCTGATTGTTTCCAGATTTAATTGATTCTTAAAAGTTTCTGATGTTATAAATATTTCTATAGATTTAATATTGATTAACTCTAGTAGTATTATTGATCACTAATATCAGCTGATCAGATCCATGATCAAAGATCAATATTGATAATTTGATGACATCACAGTTTAATGTTTTATTTAATCAATAATCAATAAGTGACCCTGAAACATCCAGTTTAATGATCATCAGTCAGAATCGATCAGAGGATCAATGAGGAAACGATCAACTCACCTGATTTAGTCAGCATGGCTTGGTAGTCGATACCGATGTTGTACTGGCAGTAGGTCTCCTTGTCCGCCTTCAGCCCAGTGATGTATGAAGTAAGGCTGTTCCAGTAGTTCGCCTGCTTCACTCCCCACTCTGTGTATCCAACAAACTTCCCCAGGCTGCTGGTGAATCTGGCGTATTCCAGCTTGTTGTAATAGTAGGAGACGATGTACTCGATGTCCTTCAGCTCAGTGGAGTTAAAATCAAAACGAGCCGTAGCAAAATAGTCAAATCCAGCTGGAAGCAGAACCTCAGAGTTAATCAATCACATTATTGATCACTGATCATCTTCTGGAAAAGGATGAAGTGGAAAAATATTTATTGATTATTAACATATTGATCACTTTCCTGATTAATCCAGCTGGACAGGAAGTGACATAAAACATGAGCTGATCAGACTCATTGATCTTCTGAGCAGCTGATAAACAACCAATATTGATTATAGTGATCAGATTATTTATCTTGGTTTACATTGGTTATCAGTCAATTATTGATCAGATCATTGATCCTTCCAGCTTCACAGATCACATTTTAAACTTTGATTATTGATAAACATATAAAATGACATATTGATCACAGTGATTATCGGTTATTGATCATACCTGCAGAGTTGATGGTGATGATGACCAGCAACCAGCCCAGCGCTGATGGATCCATGTCTCTTTGTGTCTCCCAGTCAGAGGAACTAACTGGTTCTGATGGGACCGGCTGTAAAAACCAGAACAGAGTCACATGACCTCTGAGTCACTGGTTACCGGGTAGAAGAGGCTGGAGATCAGAGAGAGGACCGGGTTCTGGTTCTGCTCCAGTTCTTATTTAAATCTGATTTAAATTATT